GGGGGGGGCTGAAGTATGTATCCCGCTCACTACGAACTATGCAGTGGCCATAATCAAGCGCACAATTTGCATGTTGATGGGCCCGCAGCACTCGAACAAACCTGGAGTTTATTCTGAGTTGCCGACCGAAGGCCGCTACAAAAGGTTACCGTGAAGATGGCCTACAAGGGAGAACTTCGAACACCATTGGTGTGCTGGGGTGGTTGGGGTTGGGTGGGGTGTGTGTGTGTGTGTGTGTGTGTGTGTGTGATGGGTCCAGTACTCCAAGCGATGGCAGTTGACCCATATCACTGCCCACTTAGCAACACTTACCAATGATTGTTTCGATTTATTCTTATTTATGTCGCTCCAACATGAATTCCGGCTTTGTTACAAAAAGTGAACAATCAAAAGGTTCACTTTTAACGAAATGTGTATTTTGTTAAGTCATATCCCTACTATGAACATGCCCCGTGTCCCTCGAACTATAATCCTGAAAGGAACTGAATCGACACGTAGGCATGCTCCTTATAGCCTGATGAGCATCCCTACTCAGAAACCCTCGTCATAATCTAAATCAACTCTGAAAAGACTCTTGCAGCACCATGAGGGAAAGAGGCAATCCAAGTAGGGTGATATCAAACAGAAACATACCACGTGTCCATCCTACTTATAAACATGACCGGTAAACGGAGCCGACACGTAGGCACGCCCATTAATTTGATGAGTAGCATTGATTGCCCTCAACCGAGGGGACTAACTACCCAGCGCATTCGAAAGTCATAGCCCTAATCTGAAATCCTCATCTTCTACTACAAAGCTTCTACAGCACGGCGAGGAGGAGAGGCATTCAGACCAGGTAGATAGAAGATCAATTATAACGAATCTCTGGACAAAGTTTGATTGCGCTATTTCGCTGTGTCTGCCGTTGTGGCAGGACAGAAATGAATCACATGGGCAGCCCTGATACCTAACAGCACTTCACATCCTGCCTTGCCACGTGGAGAAGACTTATATTCATAGCAAAAGAGAGTATTCCCCCGACTATCCTGATCAACCAATGGTTAAAAACGCAAAGACTAGATACGGTGAAGCCAACCCCTCACCTGCAACCTGGCTGATCCAGCGTTCGCTATCCTACCCCCTCACGCCACCATCCCACTCCCCACACCCCCACGCCGCCCTCCTGTTTGCTGAGCACTCCATTCGGCTGACCCTCTCGCCCGTCTCCCCAATCAACGCCAGAATCACACGAAAAAGAAAACAGGAAGGGAGGGAGAGGGGGGGAAGAAAAATGACCATACGCAGATACTTCACCATATCTGCCGATATTGTTATTGTTGTAGATATCATTGCTCCCTGCCGCGCACGAACACCGCTTCCTTCTGTCCATGGCACTGTCGTGCGCAGCCTCCTTGTTGTTGCTGTAGTTGTCACTGTCGATGCTCATGGCCTGTGTAGATACCAGCGGCACAGTCACAGGCATGGTGTAGTTGTTGATGTTGCTGTTCATGGCTTGTGAAGAAATGAGCGAGCTGGTCACAGACAATATTGGCTTGTTACTGTTGTTGTTCTTGTCGTTGGTGTTGTTGTAGTTGTTGTTGTTATTGTTGTTGTTGTTGTTGTTGTTGTAGACATCGGCGAGGCGGGCGAGATCGTTATCATCGTTGCTGTTGGTCATGATGGCGTCGTCGGCGATGGTGTTATTAGCCTGATCATGTCCAGCGTTGGTGCAATCGGCCAGATCGTCTTCCACGATATTATCAGCATCATCGTACCATCGATCTTCCAATGCAGCGCAGAGAACTTGCCCCTCCTCAAGCTCCTCGTAGAAGCACCGCATCAAATCGCGCCATCGCGGCCCATCAATACACGCTTTCAAACAGGGCGGTCCCCCCCCCTCCACCCCCCATGTAATCTCCATCATGCTTCGCTGTTTCCTCCGGGTCCACGTGAGCGACGGCGTCATCTTTTCGGCCGCCGCAGATCGCAAGGTCGCCACCACCTTGCTTAGACACGCAGTACTAACTTGGATGGTACCAAGCCACGCGACAGCTTCAGACCACAGTTCGCTCAAATCCTCCATCACTACCAACACTCAGCTGCCACACCTCACTAACCCCCATCCACATATGCACAGGCTCCACTCCACGAACCCCTTCTGCCAACCCTAGTAACACCCTTTTCCCACCCGACTTAGTCCCTTTGACGGGTTCTACGTTGTTTGCCACGTGGCAAACAGACGGCCTGGTGTAAAGGCCACGTCAGCAGAAGGAATACCCTCCCCCGACGTGTTGCACGGGGAGCAGGCCGGGCCCTGCCGGCCGGTCCCCTGCAAGGTACCAGAGCGCACAGCGGCGCGCGGAGTCTTCTTGGTGGGACTCTCAGTTTTCTCGCCACCAGTACTTCCTAAAGTTGTGCCCGTTAACAAGCCAGAATTTTAGGAAACGTATGGGGGCCACTACAGGGGTGCCCAAATTCAACCGACTAGAAACATTTCTACTTTACTTTTTCCTGGGGCCGATAGCTGGGGCAAGTACTGGTGGTTTAATCCCCTCGTCAGAGAGCAATCGATGCTGCTCATCCCACACAAATGGGATGAGCAAATGGGACTCTGGACCCCGGTTTCGAGCTGGTGCAGCTCCCCACCAATAGATCGGAGACATCTACTATACAGGAGGCCTACTATTGGAGGACGCTTGTATCGCCTCCAATAATAGGCCTCCACCGGATGCTAAGAAAAAAAAAAAAGATCGAGCGCATACTGGTCCCTGACTCCCTGGTGAAGCCATGACCTAAGTTTCAGTGGAGGTGTCATTGCTTCCTGAAGATCGAGGACATACTCGTCACACTCCGTGGGGTCATCACACCTCCAGGGACAAGACTTAGTATGCCCTCGACCTTGTCCCAGTATAAATCCATCTTGTCCACGGAAAACTGGCCTCAGTTCCTCCTCTACGTTTTTTGCTTCAGGAGTTTTTGCTCTAGGAGAGATGGCGGGTGAAAGCCCCCTCCTCTCACCCAGCCCCTTTTACCTGTTATCCTGCCTTTCCAGAAACACTGGCTTTGTGACAAAAAAAAGCGGTTGGCGGCAACGTAAGCCTCATTGAATAATTCTGGGAAAGGAATTGCTGGTTAGGCAAAAATACAAAAAAGGTTCCCACAAAAAAAAAAAAAAGGGTTCCCAAAAAAAAAAAGAGGGTTCGCAAAAAAAAAAAAAAAAAAAAAAAAAAAAAAAGAACAGGTTCCCAAAAAAGTAGGGTCAGAGATAATGGAGCTCTCAATTCCCAGCCAGTGCAGAAAGTGGTGTCAGAGACGGGGATCCCTTGGACAAATTAACGCTTTTTGTTTTCTGTTGGGGGTTTAGGGGTGGGGTGGGGGGGCAGGGCAGGCGGAAATCAGCACCAAATCACCAGTGTTTGACCCTTCTGCATTTCTATGCAGGACCAATAATAACTTTTATAGGGAGTGAAAGAATTTAACTGGCCGGAGGCTGGCCCGTATCCACAAAAGGCTGGCACATTAAACCACCAGTACCTTTCCCCGCTTGAAAAACAAATATGAGGCTTGCATACGGCCGCAACTTTCGGGAGTTGGGGTGCCGGACCAAAATGGCTGGCGGCGCCAACCAAAATGAGGCCCGTTCCTGTTTCTTTTTTCCGCCGGCCACGGCTTTTTCAGGTTTGGCTTCAATAGCTGGGCGAGGTACTGGTGGTGGTTTACGCCACCAGTATTTGGCCCAGCTATCGGACGTGGGCTTGTCCGTTACCGCGGCACAGCCTCAGGAGGTCGGCCGAGAGCAGTGTCTGTCTGGTAGTTCAGCAAAGGCCGGGCTCAGCAACTTTCTAGATGACACTCCCGAATACAAAAAAGAAAAAGAAAAAGAAAAAAAAGATAAAAAAATACAAGCAACTTTTGCCTGAGGTTCCTGCCGAAATTCACAATCCAAATTCGAAAAAAAACAACAACGAGGAGCATAAAAATATTCTTTACGGCAGGGACATTCTGTTTTTACTGGCTTTTTCAGAATTTCAATTTTCAAACAAATTCATAAAAAATCCGGAAAAAAAAAAGTATTTGTTGTACAAAATTGCAATGCAAACAACTCTTGCCTGAGGGTCTTCACGAAATTCCCAACCAAATTTGAGAAAATAAAATAAAAACAATGGTAGTACTAAATGCTTCCGAAACACTGTACCACATAAAACTCGTTATACAACGTAGGCACGTTGTATTCGAATACAACGTACCCTGTATGTTGTATTTGAATACAACGTACCCTGTATGTACGTGTACGTTTCGTTCTTTCGGGTTAAACCACCAGTACTTGGCCCAGCTATCGGCCGTGGAAAAAACTAGAGTAGAAACATTTCTAGTCGGATGAATTCAGGCGCTCCTACAGTGGCCCGTACATTTCCTAAAAATTTGGCTTGTGAACGGGCACGACTTCAGGAATTAGGGGCTCGTTCTACACTCCTCGGGCGCGTAAAGTCCCCGAGGAATTGTTCGTTCCACCTATCCTCGGGGATGCAGTTGGCGAAAAAGAAGTGAAAACACTCCGAAGGAAATTCCTTGGGCTCTGAGGATTTCCCAGCCATTTCTTCCTTTTGCCCAAGGCACCTCACGAGGTCCGCGTTTCACGGAGAGGAGCAGGCACATGGGTAGCGAGAGGTTACAACCGAGAATCTGGATCATGGCGGCACCCTATTGGCTCAAGGCCTCAAACACATTTGATTTTTTTTTTCTTTTCTTTTTTCTTGTCTGACATCGTTCCAAGGAAATGTCCTCAGGCGACGTCCCCGAGGACAGGTGGAACGATGGCAGGAATTTCCTTGAAAACCCCCAAGGAAACTTCCTTCGGCCCCAAGGACGCCCCAAGGAGTGTCGAACGACCCCCTTAAGAAGGTAGAAACACCCCGGCCGAGCAATGATTGCTCTTTCAGGGTTCCACTTGATTTACTGCCAACCTTGAGAAATTTGAAATCGCTTCCGCAAATCTTTCTTTTTTCTTTTTTTTCTTTTTTTTTAAACGCCCCCTTTCGTGCTAGTGGTGCTGATAAGAGCAGACACCACTAGCGCCTTTGGAGAGGCTCCATCTATTGGTGGGGAGCATCACCTGCTGGAAAGCGGGTCAAGCGGCCCATCTACAGAATGGCCTTATCAGGATGGTCAGGCAGCAGGATGATCTTTTTTTTTTTTTTTTTTTTTTTTTTTTCTGCCTGATAATGGCCTTATCAGGATGGCCTTGGATGCATCAGAACAAGGATCTTGAGCGGTACCACATCACTACCAGCCAAATCCATTTCTGCATTTACCAAAAATGGTCAGGCAACAGGATGATTTTTTTTTATTATTATTTTTTTATTATTTTTTTTTGCAGCACATGCTTGTCAGGCAGCAGGATTGATTGCCCTTCAAATGAGGATTTCCTGCCTATCTTTAAAAAAAGACTCCTGTGGTAAATTTGTGTACTATCCTCACCCGAATTGAACGCCTGGGGGGCAGTGTAGCTGTCTGTACCTAGACTAGAAGTCACCCAAAGTACAGGAACAATTACTGGGTCCTCATGTCTAGTATTCCGATGAGAACACCTACGCATATGATCTTACTCTGAGCAAATTGCAACCAAACAAACTTCGTCGACAGCATCTTTAGCTGCCTATTCATCATCAAAAACCTACCTTTCCGTAGCAAAAATATCCATTAAACGCCGGCAAATGAGGGTTGGTTTCACACCCAATTACGCTCAATCCTTGACCCGGCAATGTCTGTTTTGCCGCCAATGGTCGTTTTGTCGTTTGATTGTTATGAGAAGTCCTTCACTCCCATACTACGCCAGTTGCGGCGATCCCACCTACCCCACTGTTCCCACCCGGCCAAACCCTGCCCCTCTCCAACCCAACTTCCATTCAAAACCCCACAGTTCCCAAACCAATTCGAAGACAACCCAACCCAACCCAACCGAAAACAGATCTACATCAACCAAACATGAGCCCAACCCCAACCGCAATACGACCCAAACTCGACCCAAACCTAAAACCCTGACCCACCCTAAGCCACAAACCTTCACCCTAAACCCTAAACCAAAATTGCAACTCAAAAAGCCTAACCAACCCGGAAACGGAGCCTGATCTCAGCCACAACTAAACCCTACTCATCGTCGACACCAAACCCCAACCACAAGCACCAGCCCGCAAAACCCAACCCCAATCTCGACCCCCACCCCACAATACATACAAACCCAAATATCAACCAAACCCCCAAAACCCTAACCGCAAACCAGCCCCAGATGCCATTAAATTTATAATAATATTCATTAACTTAAATTGAATTATTCATTAATTACATTAAATTACATTAAATTACATTAAATTACATGAAATTACATTGCGGGTACTACGGATCCTCTCTCTTCCATCCACCTTCATCGGTGGACTTTACCAGTATTACCTAAAGGCTGTGCTGTAACTTGTGACGACATGTCGTTTCGCCTCCTTTACAACCACCGACCGAAACTCCAAACCCAACCAGAAGTCAAAAGTCAATCTGTTCAGTGTGCTACACATTTCCCCAGCAAAGTCAAAAGTCAAAAGTCAAAAGTCAAAATCTGTTACGACTTTCGCTGCAAGAACCGCGCGTCTGCTCGACAGGACCACGGCATTGAGATCCGTGACTGGCGCTGCAGTGTCGCCGGCAGACATGATATCCTCTAGCATAGCAGTCCTACATGAAGTTCCCTCTTGATGAAAGAATGTCGGTGATAACGATGATGACGGCAATAACCACAAAATGATCACGACGACGGGGACAACCACAAATGATAACGATGACGACAACAAATATGCACCTCGGCGAAAAAAACAAAGGACCGCTATGGCGACGACAATGCCGACAAAGAGGAAAGAAGAGAGAAGAAGAAAGAAAAAGACAGAAAAAGAAAGAAAAAGAAAGAAGAAAGCATGTATGGCCCCTACGCACATCTGCTCACCATAAATGAAGAAGATGGTCCAAAAAAATTACAAAAAATGAAAAAAAAAAAAAAGAAAAAAAAAAAAAAAAAAAAAAAAAAAAGAAGAAAGGGAAAAAAAAAAAAAAAGGAAGATGAAGTGGCG